CCTTCCTGACCGGGCCTGAGTGATATTCCTCTGTGTGTCTATACCATATTTTATGTAGCCATTCATTCTTTGGTGGACCTTCAATTGCCTCCACCTTTGTGAATAATGCTGCTAGGAATGTGTATGTCTAAATATCTCTTTTTTAGTATTTTATTTATTTTTCTTTTATTTTATGTGTATGAGTGTATTGCCAGCAGGTATCTAAGTGCACCTGTGTGGTGCAATGCCCATGGAAGTCAGAAAAGGGCGCCTGATCCTTTAGAACTGGAGTTACAGATGTTGTCATCCACCATGTGGGTGCTGGAAATCGAACCCAGCTCCTCTGCAAGAGCAGCCAGTGCTCTTAACAGCCAAGCCATTTTTCCAGCCCCATATGTCTAAATATCTCTTAAACATCCTGCTTTCAATTCCTTTCGAGCAAATGCCCAGAAGTGCTGAATCATATGGTCATTCTAGTTTTAACTTTTTGAAGAAGTACCATATTGTCTTCCACACTGGCTGTTTCACTTTGCATCCTTACCAGCAATGCACAAGGTTGCAGTCTCTCCATATGCACACCAACACTTGTTTTTTAATAGCTGACTTTGTGAAATACTGTGGATTATGTATGTCTCTGCTCTAGTTTCTGAATCAGAGCTCCCACAACTCATGTAGTTAAGAGAATCATTCATTCAGTATTCAGTCTTTGACCCCTGGGGCTGCAGGGAGACCTTGTCTCAAAAAGTCCAAAAAAGATGTAAAAAAATTCATTTAAAAATCCAAGAACTCCAGCTAGGGAGGCTCAGCTGGAATTTAGCTTTTATTTTATTTTATTATTTTATTTTATTTATGTGTATGAGTGTATTGCCTGCATGTGTATAAGTGCACCTGTGTCTTGCAATGCCAGAGGAGGTCAGAAGAGGGTGCTGGATCCCTGTAACTGGAGTTACAGATGGTTGTTAGCCATCATATGGGTACTGGGAACTGAACCCAGGTCCTCCACAAGAGCAGCCAGTGCTCTTAACCTCTGAGACATCGCTCTAGCCCCTTCTATTCTTTTTTTGAGACAGGGTTTCACTATGGAATCCTGACTGGCCTGGAACTTGCTATGTAGACCTCTTTGGTCTGGAATTCATAGAGATCTGCCAAATGCAGATCTCTGTCTCCCAAATGCTGAGATTAAAGGCGTGTGTCTCTATTTCTATTTCTAACTGGGTATCCCTGGTACAAGCCTCTGCTCTGGGATACAAGAGCCTGGAATCAGGGGCTGGGGCTTTGTCTGTCTTTCTGAACTCCATGCCTAACTTAAAAGACATGCCTTTTACACTTACCTGACAGGGGAGATACCATGATCAAAATGGTGGTTTTCCCAGGGGGAGGCTCATCCATTGTGCTCTAGATATGCTCACCTCTGAGTTTCTCCAAATGAAGGAAACTCAACTGCATAATTTATGGTAGTGGGAGATTTGTGTTTGTGTTCTTAAATTTAAAAAAAAAAGCATGATTTTTTCCTTCATTTCCCCTTCCTCTGGCAGCTGCTGAGATTTTCAGCTTGCCTGTCCTATCATTTTTATTTCAAACTTTAATAAAATTTTTTAAATTTCTATTTATTATTAGTGTATACATGCCACCGCATATGTATGGAAGCCAGAAGACAACCTTCAGGATTTGGCCCTGTCCTTCCATTGTGGGCTCTGAGGATGGAACCCAGGGTATCAGGCTTGTATGGCAAGTGCTGGACTTAGGTAGTAATGTATAACCTGATATTTCCTGTAAGGTTGACAATTTGCTCTAGTTAGTCAGTCAGTTAGTTAGTTGTTAGTTAGCTAGTTAGTTAGTTAGTTAGTTAGTTAGTTAGTTAGTTTTTTTGAGACAGGGTCTCCCTGTAGCCCCAGCTGTTTTGGAACTCACTATGTAGACCAGGCTGGCCTTGAACTCACAGAGATCTGCCTGCCTCTGCCTCCCGAGTGCTGGGATTAAAGTCGTGCACCACCACGCCTGGCTTATATGTTTTTTAGAGAAATGTCATTTGAGGACCTTGACGATTTTTTTTTTTACTGTGAATTTATGAGTTTAATTATCTGCTAAATCAGCAGATGGAAAAATGGAGTAAATAAATGGAAACGATTTATAAACTTAGGAGAAAGGCAAACACTTTTAGACTGAGTTTACTTTTAGATATTGGACTTTTTTCTTTCGAAATAGGGACTTACTATGCAGCCCTGGCTGGCCTGGAACTCACTATGCAGACCAAACTAGCTTCAAACTGGTAGGAATCCTCTTGCTTCTATTTCCTGAGTGCTGAAATTATAGACATGGATACCTGATGCCTGGCTCCAAATTACCTCTTCAACATCATTTAATTTTTTCATATTTCTTTGTTAAATGTGTTTTGACAAATACTAAAATTTTATTTTAGAATTTAGTTTATGTATTACAGTACCCTAAATTGCTCATCAGAATGCCTTGTTTTAAGCTCTACCAGTTTACATCTTCCCTTTAAAATGCATACCTTTTTTAAGCTTTATTGTATTTATTATTATTATTGCACATGGTATGTACATGATGTGTTTGAGTACAGATGTGTGCATGTCATGGAATGTGTGTGGAGGTCAGAGGAGAATTTTGTGGAGTCAGCTCTCTTCCTCCACCTTTACAGGGGTTACCAGGATTAAACTCACATTATCAGGTGACTGTAGTAAGGTCCTCTCCCTCTCAAGCAATCTTGCTATCCTTAAAATGTGTATCTTTTCTTTTTTATTTATTATTTTTATTTTATCTGTATGAGTGTATTGCCTGTGTATATGTAAGTGCACCCGTGTCATGCAATGCCCAAGGAGGTCAGAGGAGGGCTCCGGAAACCCTGGAACTGGAGTTAAGGACGCATTACTAACCACCATGTGGGTGCTGGGAATCGAACCCCGGTCCTCTGCAAGAGCAGTCAGTGCTCTTAACTGAGCCATCTCTCCAGCCCCATTCTCAAAAGTCATTCTCAAAAGTATTCTGGAGAGGGGCTGAGGGTGTGGCTCAGCAGTACAGCACATTCAAGGTCCTGTGTATAAACCCCAACACCCCTGAAAAAAATACTCTGGAGAAAAAATTATGAAACATCAACAAATTCTTTTTCACAGTGGAGTATCAGTTGAATAAGGCATAGTTTGCTGTTTCTTCCAGAGATTGCTGCCTGCCGTCATTTTGTAACAGCTGTTTACAGTTTGTACTTTATTAATGACTATAACTGAGAAAAGTCATTCTCTGAGTTATATATTTTTGTTTGTTTTTATTTGTTTGTTTGTTTGAGACAGAATCTCCTGTAGCTCCAGCTGGCCTGGAACTCACTATGAGATCCGCCTGCCTCTGCTTCTGCCTCTGCTGGGACTAAAGATGTGAGGTACCACCTGACTGTGATCTATACATTTTGACCAATTCTTTCCTCTGAATGTCTTCCTTCTCCTGACCCTCTATTTCCTTATCTCTAATTCTTCTCAGAGGTGGGATTTTGCTATGTTGTTACCCTGACTCCTGACTCAAGCAAATCACCCTTCAGCATCTGAAGCAGCTGGACCTACAAGTGGGCTGTACTCAGCATGACTAAAGTCTCCACTCACTATTGTAGAGCTCCCCACTTCTAGAGGGGATGTGGTTTTGTTTGTTTGTTTGTTTGTTTGTTTGTTTGTTTGAGACAGGTTGGTCTTGAACTCACTATGTATACCAGGCTGACCTTGAACTCACAGAGATCTGCTTGCCTCTGCCTCACGTGAGTACTGGGATTAGAAGAATGCATAAAAACATCTGGCTGGAGATATGCAATTTAAAAAAAAATTTGTGTGTATGAATATATTGCCTGCATGTGTGTAAGTGCACCTGTGCTGTCTAATGCCCTCGGAAGTCAGAAGAAAGCACTGGACTTGCTTGGAACTGGGGTTATTGGCAGTTGTTGGCTGCCATGTGGGTGCTGGGAATCGAACCCTGGTCCTCTGCAAGAGCAGTCAGTCTCTTAACCACCAAGCCATCTCTCTAGCTCTAGCCTGAGAGATCCTTTTTTTTTTTTTTTTTGTCTTTTTGAGACAGGGTCTCCCTGTAGCCCCAGCTGTCCTGGAACTCACTATGTAGACCAGGCTGGCCTTGAACTCACAAAGATCCATCTGTCTCTGCCTCCCAAGTGCTGGAATTAAAGGCCTGCACCACCACGCCCGGCCTGAGAGATGCATTTTTAAGAGAGATCACAACATGTTTGTAATGCTCAGGGAAATGATCAAGTAGCAGGGATATACTGGCAATGTGGAAGTGAGCGACCTGGCTAAAGAAGTAAGCCCTCAGGGGAGGTAAAAGGAAGTGAGATCCAAGGTCTTAGATCATTACTTCAATAAACAGGGAGTTATATTTTTCTCCCAGCACCAGGGATCAAACTCTGCACCCTATGCATGCTAAGTGCTCAGCACACCCCCAGTCCACCATAGGAAATCTGAAGACCTCAGACTCTTGTAGGATAGGGCTTAGGGCAGAATCATGCCCTTTTGCTAATTAGTGCATGTTCCAGGGAATGAGTATCTTTTGTTTGGTTGGTTGGGTTTTGTTTTGGGGTTTTTCTTTCTTGTTTGTTTTTTGTTTTGTTTTGTTTTGTTTTTTTGTCTTTTTGAGACAGGGTCTCCCTGTAGCCCCAGCTGGTCTGGAACTTGCTTATATAGACCAGGCTGGCCTTGAACTCTCAGAGATCTGCCTGCCTCTGCCTCCCAAGTGCTAGGACCAAAGGCATGTGTTACCATGTCCGGCTGGGAATGAGTATGTTTCAAGGAACAACCAGGGATTTCCACTGAGAGAGATGCCTGTCACTAAGGATTGATAATTAGAATGTATGTTATCCTATACCTGTACACTATATTTATACCTATACAGTCGGTTGTGCTGTAAGCAATTCCTTTGACTAAACTTGGGTCTGCAAAGATGTGAATTCTCTAGGAATTACAAATAAAATTCAATTGACCAGATATTCCAAAATAGAAAAAAAATTTCCCTCATCACAGTCATTTTGTCCAGGGAAGTGAACTCTAATTCCAGTTTGAAACACACTTTAGTGTATTTTTGGCCATAGTGACAAGTTGAGTATGAGTGAAGTGAGCTAATAAGATAAGAGAAAAGATGTCATGCCTGGAGCTATGTGCATTAGTCACGGGACCACAAAAGAAGTTGATCTATCCGGGTGTGGTGGCACACTCCTTTAATCCCAGCATTTGGGAGGCAGAGGCAGGTGGATCTCTGTGAGTTCGAGGCCAGCCTGATCTCCATAGTGAATCCAGGACAGCTGGGGCTACAGGGAGACCCTGTCTCAAAAAGACCAAAAAAAAAAAAAAAGTTGATCTAATAGATCACAGAGCTAACAGATGAAAATAAATCAGATCCATACCGAACTGTTGAATAAAGTTTTCCCTGAAGGTCAATTGTCAAGTTTCAGCACAGCTCTGAAATTTTTTAGTTAGGTGAAGTAGTAAATTCTGTTTGTTTATCCATTTCATGTACACATATCTGTCTGTACATGTGTGTGTGTGTGTGTGAACATGCCACAGTGTGGTATGAGGTCAGAGGACAACTTTCAGGAATTGATTCTCTCCTTCTACCATGTGGGTTTCAGGGATCAACTGACGTCATTAGGCTTGGCAACATGTGCTTTTACCCACTGAGCCATCTTGCCAGCCCAAATCTTTTTTTTTTTTTTTTTTTGGAGACAGGGTCTCACTTTGTAGCCCTGGCTGACCTAGAACTCACTCTGTAGACCAGGCTGGCCTTGAATTCACAGAGATTCACCTGCCTCTGCCTCCAGAGTGCTGAGATTAAGAGGGTGCACTACCATGCCCAACCTAAAATTAACTTTTAATTTGTTTTTTTGAGATGGGATATCACTATGTAGTCTGGCCTGGGACTTGTGATGTACCTGTCTTAAATCCTGAGTGTTGAGATTATAAGTGTACACTACCATACTCTGCTAATAAATTTGCTTTATTAATTCAATCACTTTGCATTGGATTTTCTTTTTTTTAAATTTTATTTAAATTTTATATGTATGCGTGTATTGCCTGCCTGTAAGTAAGTGCACCCATGTCGTGCAATGCCTGAGGAAGAAGACAGAAGAGGCTGTTGGATCCCCTGGGACTGGAGTTACAGATAGTCGTTAGCTGCTATGTGGGTGCTGGGATTTGAACCCAGGTCGTCTGCAAGAACAGTGTTCTTAACTGCTGAGCCATCTCTCCAGCCCCTGAATTGGATTTTCTTTAACAACCAAAGACATTGGAACTAAAGCACAGATGAAGGCACAGGCCATTTCTGCATTATGCATTCAACGAAGAGATGTTTATCAGACCCCAGTTCTGTGTCAAGCATGCACCCTGCATATAATGTAGTGCATAATGCTGATGTCTTCAGTGTCCCAACCCCCTTTGTACCCCTTGGCACCCTCCCCTTGAGGGCCTCTTGTGTCCTCTGCTCTTT